GTTATGATATTGTATGAATAAACATTATTTTGCTAATATTAATCATTTTGTGGATTCAATATAGCTTCTTGCTAGTTTTGAGTTCTTTACATTCAAAATGATTCTACCATTAATTGATGAAGCCTGTCCAATATCGTCTTCTAAGGATAAGGTATATACTTAAATAATTCATTTATAATTCTTAATATATATTAATTCGATCTTAATTACAGGAAGGATCTGATGTAATTTTTGGGCGTGTTTTCGGCTTCGCGTCAGTCGTAAGGTCAGGTATTCTTTGGCGTAAAACTTCGTCCGATGATGATTATTGCGAAGTGATCAATGGTTTACTAGCTTGTGCAAATAGTAAACCATATGTTAGGGAAACATGCTATCATGTTATTATTTCAACCATACCTTTAGTAAGTAATACCACCGAGTGCTAGTCAATTTATTGTTTAAACCATACATTGATTGTCATTATTACGCACTTTTTAGTTGAAGGAAACAACATTTGAGGAGAAGGCGATTTCTCATCTTATAACGGTTATGAATGAACGTAATGTCCGAAATGGTATCAATAACCCTGATGATATTAATTTGGCTATTGCTATTGAAGCACAATATCCGGTATGGCAGACGATCTTAATCTGCTGTAAATATCTTTTTGATTAACCTGTATATAATTACAATGGATTGAACGTTATGAGACGCATATGAAACAAATATGATTTAATTTCTCGTAAAGGTAATTGCAATCAGATTAATATTTTTGTTGTTTTCGTTCTACAGGATATATTACAAAATAATCAATGGATACGAGTCGTGGTTCATAATGGCGATTCATGTATAGCGAAATGGTACAAACCACATATACTTCATCCCGAAAATTTAGAAAAGTTGACAGAAGCTATTCAGGTATTTACAAATTTTAGCCATCAAATATTTAATTATTAGGTTTTCAGAAATACCATTTCGAAATAATTAAGTTAGATTATAGAAATTTTTTTATATTATAAATTTATTAAATTACATATAAAACATTAATTCTTATTTATAATCATAAATAGGCAAAGTCCAGTCAATCTGCAGCTGAAATTCAGCAGAATCAAGAAAATCGTATTCATTCTGTTTGGAATACGATTATTTTTTGGCTTATTTTTCCCCCCAGTGATAAACTTAGAAAGCAAACAGTTGCTTTTGAAGAATTTTGGAAGACGGCTGTTGATGGTAAGAAATATTTTTAATAATAAAATATAGTCGTTACATCTTAATCTATTGAATGATTTATTTTTTGAAATATTATAGAATGCCTTTTTGATGATGATGCTACATATCAACGTAAATTCTGGGGATTTCAATTATTTGAGAAAGCTTTTCAAATATGTCCGGAAGACAAATTTTCTTTCTTATTCACTTCTAACTTAATGCGAACTTTGATAAATCATTCTTACGAGAAGAATCGATACTTGCATGAATCTGCAATGCATCTGGTATATTGGGATTAATTAATTCAAATTTTCTTTTTGTACAATATTTAACTGTCTTGTCATAACATTAACAGTTAAAGGTTATTGAGCAAGTCGCCGAGGAAAACCAGCGGAAGGCCTTGATTATTGTTAAAAAATTTTTAGGTCAAAATTGTGATCGAGATTTTGACAAAGTTAGCAAGACTTATACCATCAGGAACATATTCCATGTTATTAACAATAGCACAATTGAGGAATACGTTCTGTATTTGAAAAATATTTTCTTAAAACCCGACGAAAACTTGTCAAGGTACTTATTAAGAATGTAAAAGATTAATTTTATTGATTTTTCTAGTTAAATTATAAATTTTTATAATTCTTCAAAAAGTGACAACGAGGCAACAATACAACGACGTCAATGGATTATAGATCATTTATATTCGCTTTTAAAAAATCCTCATATTAATCGTCATGAAGGCTGGTTAAATTTAGTTTTGGATCTTTTTCTTATCTATGGATTTTACACAGCCAAAGATTCATTTTTAAATGAGATTTCAAAGGATAAAAAGGTATGAATTCATGTATGATCATCATTAAATTTTCCACGCTCATGTTTAATTATTTGTAGATTGAAACCAGCAAATCAGAATCTCGGAATAAAAAATCAAAGCGTGACCCAAAAAAGGTAAAATTCGAAAATCAACAAGCCGCTGATAGTTCGAGGACGGATAATTCTGAGAAAATGATTAGCAAATATATATTACCTAAACCAAATATTGATGAGGATACCCAAGAGCGTTGTCGGTTAAGATTCTTTCATGCTCTTGGCGAGTTGAGTACATTTCGTTCTTTACTTAGTGATGGTAAGAAGACTTCAATGTGAAGTTAGCCTATCTTAAATATTTAAACACATTCTTACTGAATTTTATTAATTACATATAAGTTAAAACGGAGAAACCTATACGTACTCGTAGTGGTTTTATGAAAAGTGGTCAAACATGGTCTTATTATGCTGTGGCTTTGATGAATAGATTTGATTACGACACTCAACTTGAGCCTTTAATTATTTTAAGCGATGAAGCGCAGCAACTGAAAAGCACAGTAATAAAGCTGTTACAAACAATTATAGACAAGGTAAAATTGCATTAGATTTGTATTTGTAATCTAATGAAGGAAAAGATTTAATACAATCTATTTGAATTGTATAGTTAAATAGTGAAGATTCTAAAGGGCATAATCTTGACATCCTTCAAGGCTTCCATTTGTTGTTTTCTTATTCCGTTCTTACTTTATATACAGAACCAGAAGAAGCAATGAATGCATTGCAGGTATGTATTAAATTAGTATTATTCTAATATTTAATATTCCTTAAAGTTACACAATTATATAACTCCTTTTAACTATTATTAGGATATACAAATATGCTTTAATAAAATGTTTGTACAATCGAAAAAATCATTAAAAAAGAAAAGGAATAAAGAGGAAAATCTTGAAGAAAACCATAATCCTGTTGACGTAATTGTAGATATTTTACTTGGTTTTCTTGCAAAACCATCTGCATTTTTATATAACATGTCCGAGCAAGTTTTTAAAGTTTTCTGTGACGGCATTACGAAATCTTCTTTGGACTTAATGTTAGACGTATGTATCATTTATCATTTAAAAGATTTTTTTTTTTTTTTTTTTTTTTTTTACAAAATTATTAAACTTTAACGCTATTAATTTTATAATATAGCTTATAAATAAACAAGAGAATGATGAAGAAGAATTGGTAGATGAAATAGATATCGACGATGAAATTAATCAAGATGAGGATGAGGAAAGTACTGACGGCGAATCAGATGATGGATCAAATGACAGTGACTTGGATAATGATATAACTGATAATGAAAATAAGGAAGCAAAAGATCAATCTTTAATAGAACTTAATAATCATAATAATGAGGGTGAAGATTATAGTGAAGAGGACATAAATAATCAAGATGAAATGATGGAAAAAATTGATTCTAAGTTATCTGAAATTTTCAAAATCCAAAAATTCGGAAAGAAAAAGAAAAAAGGTAAATATCATGTTTCAATCAATTTAGATTTAATATATAACTAACAAATATCTTTACTTCTATAGACACTAGATACCAAAGGATTCATTATAAACATAAAGTTATTGGATTGTTAAAAATTTTTGTCAAGGAACAACAAAACAATCCACTTATTTTTGAGTTAATAATGCCTTTGCTTAAGATAGCAAAGAATGCAAAAACAGATGAAATTGCAAAGAGCGCATATAATCTTCTCAATACTAGAATTGTTGTCATAAAGGATGGCCTTACTGAATTTGATGATAGTAAAATACTCGCTTTATTAGAACAAGTTCAGGATATGGCTCGAAAAGCACACTTTGGTGATATGATGACTTTGTGTTGGAAATCTTGTGCGTTCCTGCTTAAAGCTATAGTTCGACGTCATAACAACGAAGAAATTAGTGACGCTTCAAGAGAAATCTCAAACCAACATATTAAAAATGCCATTGTTATTTATGAATCTACATATAAGAGTTGGTGTACTAAGTCAAGTTCTTTGAATATAAAGTGCTTTTCACAGTTGCCTGCTACGATTCCTCAAATTCCATGGCATTTTTCGGAAATATTCCTTGGGTGTACTGACCCAAAGACAGCAAAGAACCCTAAAAAGGTCATGAATGCGTATGACGTTTCATTTACTATTTGTAATGTTGCGCTACCAAAGAAAAAACGGGTATGTACGAATTATCTTATTTTTTGTCTTGTTAAGTCGAAATTTTTTATCAACCTTATGTTTGATTATAGGAATCTAAAGGTGCTAATAGCACTATACCTAAATTAGTACCAAAAATAAGAGAAAATTTAAACAATACGCTTCAATTTATTGCAGAAGACTTAAAATGTGGCAATCAAAATTTTGATTCTCAAGCATTAAAATCAATTCTAAAGTTTGCCGGACTTGCAATCAAAAGGACTAGTACAGAAAACTCAAAGTCTGAGGTATGTTACGTGTCGCCTTGGCGATCGCACATAATTAATTATGTGTAAATTGCGAAATATTGCGCAACATTTAGTGAAAATTTATTTATTTATTATTAAAAATTAATTTCTATATTTTATAGCTTAAGAAATTATGGAATTCAAAGAAACTTTTGCCTTTACTTGAGAAAATTAAAGAATTTCCAAGGTTTAAGTCTTCCCAAGTTATTAGTAATTTAGTAAATGAAATTACACGTAATTTTCAATAATGAATTAGATATAAAAAAAAATATTATTAACAAATTTGTTGATTTAATTAAAAATTTTTATAGATATCATTATTAAAATTATATGTAGTTACATGATCATAGCTGTTTATTCTGATTTTAAAATAAATTTCTTTTTATCATTTCTTGATAAGTTACTATTTCTACCAAATTAAATTCTCAGAGAAATAATATTAACACTCACATATTATACTATCATTAAAAATTATTACCTTATTTATAACTATCGATGATATGCTACAAATTAAAGATTAAATTTTAATAACTTATTTGGTTGATTTTCCCTTACGATTAGGTCTAGCACTTTTAGGTCTAGCATTTTTAGCCTTCCGTTTTTCTTTTAATTTTCTCAGTTTGTGAATTTGTTCTGCTGTCTTTAATTCATTATTGATTCTCTTATTATTGTGTCCACCTGTATTTCGCTTCTTCGATGATATATTAGAGATGTCTTTCTGATCATTTGTACTATCTGATTTGGAAACTTTCTTGAGTTTCTTTTCATAACTTTTGGATAAAGGATCCAAAGGTTTAGGCGTTGTGAACTTATTATGCCGATATCGTTTCATATTGAGATTTGTATTAGGAAGTTCTTTTTCTCCCATACGGGGAATTTGAAGTTTATTGTGTTGTTGCCACTCTTTAAACCTAATTGAAAAAAAAGATATAATATTTTTTATAATCGAGTCAAACTTAATCTTTTTAAATTGAAATAGTTTTTTTTTTTTACCTTCCACTTTTATAAGTAGCAGGGATCTTAATCCCACTTTCAGTAGTTATTAATTTTTTATTATCTGATCCTATACCAGTTCCTTTCACAAAATTTTTCTTTTTGCTATCCCATCTCAGCATTTTATTTTTACCAAATTGTGGGACGTGTTCATCGGTTTGAGTCTCAATTATGGCATTTTTGGATTCTTCAGCAAAGGACATGCCTTGGTTTACAGAATATCTATAAATTTAAACGGGGTGTTAAAAAATTATATTTAATTTTATTGATATTATATAAATAAATAGATGTATACCCTTTTTCAGTATTTGCATCTTTTTGAACATGAGGAATATAAAATTCCTCATCACGAAAATGATCTTTTAATCTTTTCTGTTTTTTTGCTACAACAACAGATGGAAATGGATTCAATAAAAAAACCTATGGATGTTAGATAAAACAGATTCGATAATGTATATAAATGTACACACAGATTTCAATATTACTATCATCTGCCTTCCTCTTCTTTAAGACTTTGATCACAGAATTCTATTAAAGATTAATATTAATGTTATGGTAAAATAAATCGAGATTTATTATCAATTTCTCACCTCAACTTTTTCCCCATCTAGATTGGAATTTATAGGTTCTGATTGATATGTACTTAAATTATTATTCAAAATACTAGACTTGTGTGCTTCAATTTTCTTTGAAACATTCCCTCGGCGTTGTTTCATAATTTGCGCTGCGGAAGTTTTCTTACTACCTCGGCTTCCGATTTCAAATATGGTCTATGATTTATCAAAATTTTCATATTTCTTATTCAATACTAGAAACAAATCTGTTTTTTTTTTTTTAAAAAAAAAAGGTAAAATATGCTCACTTCATGCGGTCTGAAACTAGAAATCGAACTAATTAAGTTTCGTCGCTCCTTTTCTTTTTCATCAACCTTATCAGCTGAAAAATTAAGGGGAAAGGGAAATTTCAAATAATTCATTAAATTAATTATAAAGGAAAAAAATTTTTTTTTTAAAAATAAAAGAAAAAAAAAGAAATTAAAATTCGATGCAAACCAAAAAGGAAATGTACATCATTATATTTCTCCGTTGCCATAATTTCCTTGGCTCTTTTATAGCTTTCCGATGATGCCAATGGTCTGGATTTGCAATATTGCTTATATCCGTTATTTGCAACATTATTAAGCGCTTCAATATTGCTAACTTCTTTAAGTATACTTTTAATCCATTCCAAATTTACGCCCAAAGAATCGATAGGGAAACCACCCATAATAATATCAGATGTGTATTCCGGATTTGAATTTGCCGATGAACCTATCAACAAACGACGACCGAGAAACAGCTGGAGATCTAACAAATAGGGAAGCTACGACCTTTTATTATAATGAATTATAAACGTAATTACCGTTTACTTCTAAACAAATACCTCATCGGGAGTTATTAATGAGTACGCCCAACCTCTTTTACCAGCTCTCGCCGTTCGACCAACTCGATGAATAAAAACTTTGCTAGTATCAACAAAATCGTAATTAATTACATTCTCCAAAATTGGAATATCTATTCCACGAGCAGCCACATCGGTGACAACTAACAAATTGGTTTGACCATTTCGAAAATTATTTATTTGAATTTTTCGGGCCGTTTGATCAAGTGAACTATAAATATAAGAAGGTTGATATCCTGCGAGGTTCAATAGATTTGTAATATATTCAACATGATGTTTGGTTGATACAAATATTATAGTTTGATGAGAAAGTGAGGAATGAGAAGCGTTCTTCTCAATCGATTTCTTGCTTGAAGATTTTAACTTATCATTGTTTATGGGGTTTAAATTGATTGGAACTTTGATGATTTCCTTTATAATATATAAAAGAGCGGCTTCTTTTTCTGAATGTTTTATTGAAAAGAAAGCCATCTACATATTTAAATTCATTATTAATTCAAAAGTTTGGAAATCAAAATTTGATTTGGGTTTTAAAAAAAAAAATCAAAGATTACCTCCAAATCAGTGCTAATTTTGGTATCAATGTCTAACCTCACTAAAATCGGTTCATGTAAACCGGCTTTTGCAAAATCTACGAGTGATTGAGGTAAAGTCGCAGAAAAAAGCATTGTCTGTCTCGATTGAGGCAATCTATGCAAAATTTCATGTAATTGAACCGAGAATCCTAATTCGAATAATCTGGAATAACATATATATATATATATATATATGGTCAATCTTAGCATAGAGATAACTTATTTAATAAAAGTATTATATATATATATTTGTAATCACCTATCGGCTTCATCAAAAACGATATATTCGACACTTTTGAGTTCCATATCCATTTCAACTATCAAATGGAGTAGACGTCCTGGCGTCGCTATAACACTGATGAATATTTAATGTTATCTTGATGCATATTGATTGGCTCATTTTTACATCTAATTGTAATTACATACATATCAGGATTGCCTGCAATCATCGCGAATTGATCTTCTAAACTATCACCACCAACTAATATGCAGGTTCTGAGGTCGGTATGTTTTGCAAGTTCTTTACACACTTTTTGTGTCTGAAGTGCTAACTCACGTGATGGTGATAATATAACTGCACGTGCACCAACCTAATTAACGAGAATAATTAGATGTATTTTTCAAACTTTATATTTTAATTGATATATAAATATATGTACCATAGCGGAATGGCATTTTAGCTTTTCCAACATTGGTATCAAGAATGCTGCTGTTTTACCGGATCCTGTTCGTGCCATGGCCACAACGTCATTCCTGTCCATAATAAGTGGAATTGTCTTGCGCTGTATAGGAGTTGGCACTTTAAAACCCTTATACAGTATTGCTTTATATATTGGTAAACTTAGACCTATTGAAAATGAACAACATAATTAAGTTCTTATCCAAGAGTTTGCTCACATTACAGATAACTTTATACCCATTGATTGAAACCCGCCGGATTTCTTCTTTTTCCGATTTTTGGCTTGAAGTTGTTTAGAAATGAAAGTTGCTTCTTCTTCAGATGCTTCTTCGCCACCTTTGATCAATGAGGAAGAAATATCCGCATTATTATCACTGTCACTTTCTATGCTACTGTGCTCTGATTCTGTAGTTGATATTTTCATTTTTTTTTAAGTAAATTTTCTGTTTGGTTTTTTTTTTTGCCATCATTTATGGAAAAAATAAAAAGATCCTCCAATCAAATTCGCACAAATACTGATCTATTTCACGAAAAATTTAACGGATTTCATATCTAAAAAATGTCAAATAAGAGAAAGGTAGTTATTGCATTAGATCCTTTTTCTGACGAGGCTTCGTATACTATAGATTGGATAATTGATAATTTCCTTAAGCCTGAACGAGATGATATACATTTATTTTCAGCCCTGAGTCTAAATCTTGAACTTGACCCAACTGAATTAGGTATTATTCATTGACCATTACATTCGAAGTTTTCTTCAACCAATTATCAATATTTTCATACACTTTTTTCCTTAAATAATTAGGTGTGAATATAAACTATGGAGCAAAGTATGTCGCGGATCTGGAAAAAGAAGTAATATTTGCTATAATTATTAAAATTATCGTATAATAATTAATCATTAACTTTTTAATTTTTTAATTTATATTTGGAGGTAGAACAAAAGAACACTGACGCAATGATACCATTCGTTAACAAGTTAAAAGCGAGATATGAATGTAATAATGATCTTGCTGAAGTAAATGTAATTAAACAATTGTTTATATATATCAAAATAATTTTACACTATAGTTAATTACACTTTCTTTTTAGATCAAATGTAAAGTAGAAATAATAAAATCGAACTTAGATCCTCGAAATATAGTTGTAGACTATACTGAAAAAGAGAAAGCTGATGTGCTTATAATGGGAAGTAGAGATTTGTCAGCGTGGAAAAGGTTCGCGGTTCTTTAATTTTATTTCGGTCATATTAAGAAACCTTTATAATATATTTTTTATAATTAAAATAAAATTTTCAATTAGATTTTTCTTGGGAAGTTTTTCTGATTTCTGTCAACAGAATGCACATTGTCCAGTAATAATTGTGAAAGGTCCTCGAAAATGATAACTTATTTAACTTTTAGACCAATTAAAAGGTTTTTTTCAATTGGTTTTTATGTCAATAAATTCTTCATTAATTATTTTTCTTTTCACACTATTTTTCAAATTTTTGTAAAATTCAAGCTATAAGAATTCATTCAATTGGAGGATAATATACAACAACCAATATAATCAAATAAAAGTATCAAACTTTGAAAATACCTAGTTGATGTTAAAATTTACGTTCAAGTCTACATTAGAATATATCTGAAGGTGAAACTATATCACTTATAAAAATGGAAATTATATCAAAAATTTAATAAAAAAAATTAACGAAACTAAAAGGTTTAGACGTTTTTCCAAATCCAAAATGAGTTATAAGTTATTGTGCTTTGCAACGATTAATATCAAAATTATTGTCCAATTCATAATGACGATCAGTTAGAATAATTTTGACTATTTATCAACGCAAGCACAATAACGATATTATCGTGTGATTTTATGATGTAGACGATCTTGTTTTTAATATTTTTAGTGATATCACGGAGTTTATATGAAAATTAGCTATACAATAACGATAATTTATTTTAAGCAAATAAATAATACTATAAATAATACTTATTATTATACATATTAATTTCAAGTAACTTGTTCTATTTTCAAAATAAGGAGCTATAGATAAAAGGGGGCTAATTAATAAATATCTCAAAAAATAATTTTTCTAGCAAGTTTTTAGATAATTTATTCTTTTTATTTTTCGCGATATCAATTCAATTATGTGGAATAGAACATTTACAATTACCACCTTCTGCAAATTTATTTTATTTTATTTTTTTTTAATTTCGAAATTTTTTTTAATTAAAGTTTTTAATTTTTTTTATTTTTAAATTAAAGATTTATAGCTATAATTTTAAAATTAGTTTTTTTAATTCTCATTTAGTATCTAAGTGGTTGACAAAAGGGATATATTTTATTGTTGCATCATTAATGGTTGTACTTTCATCAAACAAATTAAGGATAATAAAAATAATCAAAATACCGTATCCTTACGATTTTAAGCACCACCCCAACTTTCGGCACAAAAACTTGAAAAACAAAAATAAGCACCACCCAAATTTGAAAAAATTTTATTATATTTCATATTTTATTTCAAAATAAAATTTTATTTTACAATTCATCATCATCTTCTAATTCATCTAATTCATCAGCCAAATCACTATCTATATCTATAACTTCTCATCAATTTCCTCTTCTTTTTCATCTTGCCCAAACAAATCATCTTCTGATTCATCCATTGCGTTACTAATACCGCATTTTTTAAATGACTTTACAATCATTTCCTTTGGAATTTCCGCCCATGCCTCAAGTATCCATTTGCAAATAATATTATATTCAGGCTTTCTTAAATTCCCACCTTTAATATAAGAAAATTGACCCGAACTCATCTAAATGTTCCACTTTTCACGAAGTCTATCTTTAAATGGCTTATTAAAACAAACATCAAGCGGCTGAACAATAGAAGTGAGACCACCAGGAATGATTGCCAAATCAGTATTTTCATCGAATGCAATTTTTTTATAGCATCCGTCTTATGACCTTCAAAACTATCCATAACAAGAAGGGATCTTTGTTTATTGATTCTATTTCCTCCCGGCCTTTTTCTCCAAACCTTATCAAACCAGGTTTTCATTTCAGATTCATCCATACATCCTTTTGGGTGCATCAATACAATAATTCCAGAAGGTAAATTCTTTGGCATTTGCTTACCTTTAAAAATGACAATTAGTGGTAATTTTGTACCATCTGCAAGAACCGTAAGAACACATGTAAACCGATTTTTTCATTTCCAGTTGTTCAAATTTGCACAGTTTTAGCACCACGATTTTCTATAGTTAAGTTTCTAACCATATCAAAATAAACAGGAGTTTCATCCATATTTCCAATTTCACAAAGTTCATATTCAAATTGTTTTCGTTTTTTAATAATAAACTGCTGAAACTCCAAAAGTTTGTCATTAAGGTGAGCAGGAAGTTTTTGGCTGATTTTTGTTTTACGTCGCAGAGAAAATCCATTCCTTTTAAGAAAACCATAAAACCAACGTTTTGAAGCAAGAAAATTTTCACTATTTGGATAAACATGAGTAAACTCTTTTATTAAAATTTCTTTCATATAAATTTTAACCATTTTAGAAGTCACTACAATACCATCTTTTCGAAATTCTATAAGCCGCCATGTTTTTAAACTAGTTTCAGTTTCGGGATATTGTGCTTTTTTTCCTGCGCTAATATGTCAATTTTTTCCTTTTGCTGACTTGAGTTTATTTCCCTATTTTTTCCAATGTGAAATCATTGAATGATCAATAGAAAAATGACGTGTAGCTGCTCTTTGACCATGATTTTTTGCATATTGCAAAATCTC